ATAAGTTTTGCCAGTTTGTCAGTAAGTTTTATAATTGACTGACACTGGCTTTTTAACTGGGTCAGTGTATGAAACCTTCATGTCCTATTTCTGGGAGAAAATTTGGAGGTCCACAGTGAGGAAGGGTTAACAATGGCTCACTTTTGGTGATATAGTTTGTGATGGATTAAATACGGCTGGAAATTATTTTCTACTTCTGAGCAGTATAGTCTAATTCCTCTTCTGCTTGAATCTGGGCTGCTCTTGGTGACTTACTTGATCAATAGAATATGATGGAAATGACACTATGCCAGTTTTAAGTCTACCCTATAAAAGAACTAAAAGACCACCATGATGTGAGGAAGCCCAAACTAGCCAAATGGAGAGGCTGTTTGGCCAGTCACTGTTGTTCTAGTTCCCAGTCAATCAAGTCATCCCAGACAAGGCCCTAGACATCATGAAGCAAAGTTGACCTGTCCCACACTATACCCTGTCCAAATTCCTGGCCCATACAATTTTAATATATAATACTAATAAATAATAAATGTTTATTTTAAGCTCCTACATTTAGGAGTAGCTATATGGCAGTAGATAATAGAAACAATTACATTTTTTATGAGACTAGTTGAGAAGATTTACAGATTATAGAGCTTAAATGAACCCTTAAAACATCTCTTGTAGGCCTCAAGAGACTCCTACAAAGAAATCTCAGATAGTCCACAATACCAGTACTAATAACAGGTAGAGCTAACACTCCTATACTTAGAACTAGCTCTTCATTAGCAGTGCTGTTTTTAAGTGCTGTTGAACCAGCTCCAACTCATAGTGACCCTATTACAATGGAACAAAATACTACCCAGTCCTGCGCCATCCCATCAATCTTTGCTATGTTTGAGCCCATTGTGGCAGCCACTGGGTCAATCCATCTCACTGAGGGTTTTCCCTTTCTTCGCTGACCTTCTTCTTTACCAAACACTATATCCTTCTCCAGGCACTGGTCCCTTCTGACAACATGACCAAAGTAAGTGAGATGAAGTCTAGCCATTCTCACTTCCAAGGAACATACTGGCTGCACTTCTTCTAGGGCAGATTTGTACATTCTTCTGGCAGTCCATGGCATTTTCAGCATTCTTCTTCAGCAAGACAATTCAAATGCATCAACTCTTGATCTTCCTTATTCATTGTCCAGTAATTCCTTATTCATATGCTTTCACATGCATATGAGGCAATTGAAAATACCATGGCTTGGGTTAGGTGCACTTTAATCAAGGAGACATCTTTGTGCCTTAACCATATCATTTGCTATAATATGAGGTTAAAACAATGGCAATCTTATTAAATCTAACAAGAAGTTATCCCCCCAAAATTAAAGTGATTAAATAAGACTATATAAAATATTAATAGTCAGCCACTATCATTAAGGATGGGAGCTCTGGTGGCGTAGTGCCTAAGGGACTTGACTGCTAACCAGAAGGCTGGTGGTTCGAACCCACCAGCCACTCCTTGGAAGGAAGGTTGGGCAATCTACTTCCATAGTGATACCGCCTGGGAGGGGTTGCTATGAGTCAGATCCGAGTCCACAGCAGTGAGTTTGGTTTTATACAAGCTTAAAACAAGAGAGAGAAGTTGTTCATTATTCAGAGAAAACAATTCCTACTTGATGCAACACAAAGAACCTGAAATCAGAATGGTTTCAAACAATACTCGTTTTTATTTTTCATCACATAAAATTTGCTGTGGGGTAGCAGGAGTTGTCTACCATCAGGTGACCCAAGGATTCAAGCTGGTTCCATCAGCTGCTTCTGTCAGCACGAGATGGGGAATCCGTATTTGCAGCTGAATAGTGGAGAAAGCATACTGGTAACACATTGGTTCTCAAATGCCTTTAATACTCTGCTCATACTTCAGTAAAAAGGGCTAGTCAAGTGCGTTTTATTCTCATTTCCACAATCTTTTATAAGACCTGTGTATTTTATTTTGAACTTAGGGTGTTTCTTTCTATTACTTAGGTGACAGTGTTTCTTTCTATTACTTAGGTGACATTACAGAGTCTTGAAAAGGAAAATAAATAAATAAAGAGGAAGACAATGGCCTCAGGCTGGGAGAAGTGAAAGAGAGTGTACTACCAGCTAATTCAGACCAGGAGTCTAGTCTCAGCTCTGTCAACAATTCTCTTGGATTCTAGACTTTTCTGGAGCCACAGAGGCTGGATGAACCCCTGAAACTATTGCCCTGAGATAATCTTTAAGCTTCAACCAAAAATATCCCCAAAAACAATTTAGCCTAAATAGTAAAAAAAAAAAAAAAAAGTCTGCTTTGAACATGAAGTTCTTTTAAGAACTACTGAAAACACTGGTGCTTTGGTTTGATGGGAGGCAAGGCGTTTGTTCTTAACAGACATGTGAGGAACTTTAAAATCAAAGTGACAACAGCAACTCAAAGATTAGATAGGAAACTTGGGGGTGGTGAGGTTATGTTGATGAGGGAGGAACCAGTCAGGAAAGGAGGGTGAGAATGGCCGCTCACATGAAGAACATAATCAATGTCACCACAACGTAGATGTGGAAACAGTCAAATCGGTACATGTTTGGTTTGCTGTGCATGTTCTCAACAACAACAAATCTACCCTGTTAACTCACATTCTCAAGCTCGCTAAGTCCCAGTTCATGGGTCTGATGACGGTTACAATATGTGTAACATATAAAGAAAAACAGAACTAAAACTGGCAAAGTACCTGGCATATGCTACATCTTTAAGAATGAGAGATATTGCTGAGATTATGTCTTCTCAAAACTCTACCACCCTGTCCCTACTTTTATTTATTTTTTTAATAGAGGATAACTCAGAGAACATGAAGTGCTTTCTGAGACAGAATAGGAAAACAGATAAACATATTGCTTAGGAAGTAAAACTTAGGAATGTTTCCCCTCAGGAGGTATATGATTTAACTCGTGTATAAAGATGTCTCCCCCAGCTGGACACAACTTAAAGGTCCTAGAATTTCTGTCAAGAACAAATACCTTCCCTCCATTCCTATCAAAGCACCAGATTTTGCATTAATTTCACCTTCATCAAAATTTTAGATGTTGCCAAATTAACTCAAAAAATTAAAATACTTCTTGAATGCAGTGGGGTCTGTCCCTCCCAGCCCCACCAACATACAGCCAGCCCGGTGTCTTCTAGGAATCTCACCATAAGGTAACCAAAAAAAACCAAACGCACTGCCATCGAGTTAATTCTGACTCATAGCAACCCCCATTGGGGTTCCAAGGTGGTAAATCTTTACGGAAATACATTGCCCAGGCTTGCTTCCACGGAGTGACTGGTGGGTTTGAACCACCAACCTTCTGGTTAGCATTCAGATGCCTTAGGCACTGTGCTACCAGAGCTCCTTCACCTCAAAGTAGTATCACTGTTAATTCTCAAATACGGTGGACATGATGTAGTTAGTGCAATGTGTTCAACTTCACTGTGACAAGCATGCAGGGAACCTGCCAGTCCTGCTTTTACTCACGATATCCAAGTGACTAATAGGAATTGTTTTCATTCCAGGATTATTTCTCTCAACTGAGAGACACAATTATCTGAGGGTCTGGTTCCTGGTCACCACAGTCCTCCCTGCTCCCGGGCTTTCCCTGAAATTAACTAACAATGAAGGATTT